GTCTCTCCAAATATCTATAAGATCATAGGAATGCAATATTCTTACCAATCTATAACTTTGTTTGGGGTTATGTTTAAGGGTTGCATTGTGGGGGTTAGATTTGTCTAAGATTTGGTCCAGGGAAGTATTCCTATTACCCCCTATATATACGTATCCCACAACATAAGGCATCAAAAACTCTAGCACAGAGCAAAAGAATGACCTGTGTTGGGTGCATAGTATGAGATTAGAGTGACTGTACGTTCATTCATTTTCCCCACCACCATAATATCTACCTTCATTGTCTCCTATAACTACATTAGGTGTGAAGGAGACTTTCTTTGCTACACATATCGCTAATCGCCTTTTCTTATCTGGTCCATTTGACAAACAGAAAGTGGGGTATCTAGCATTCAAATATTTGGGGGAAGATGTGCGAGAGAAATGTGTCTCCTGAAGTAGCAAGACATCCATCCAAGAGAGGAAAAAGAGGTGGGGATGCAAGGAAATATGTGGAGCATTTAGAGTTGCCATGATTCTGTGGCCTACTGGAAGTCCAAAAACTGTTCACAAGTGTGAGCTAGAGATTAACTGGAGGAAGTGTCTTCAAAAGTGGACGATGTCCCAGGGCGAGACAGCTGGTCTCTGCAGACAAAGAGAATAAGCACCAAGGAGCATCACATAGATGGTCAGGTGACGGGTGAAGATCCCCAGGAGGTAGGCTGCTTCTGTTGGTACCACAGAGGAGAGACCGGTTGTGCTGCTGCATGTTGAGCTTTAGTTGTGGGGAGAGTCTTTTGATATTAGGGCCGTTCCAAAAGCACCTCCTCTCCAGACTGGAAGTTGGTGAAGGAATGTGATTTGCCCTTGTATGTAAAAGATAAGTGAAATGGAAATGGCCAGCGATAATTGGTGATTAACCAGGTGTGCAAGCATGGGTTTCAGTGATCCCCTCTTCTGGATCATTAGTTTGGATATGTCTACAAAGGTTTGGACTGTGTGCCCAAGGATGGAAAGATCACTCTTGGTTCTAGCCTCCATCATGATCTTGTCTTTGATTCTGTACAAATGTGGCTTTACAATGACATCTCTGGGCAAACCATCAGGTCTGAGGACTGTTCGGGTACGATGGACCCTATCTATTTCCAGCTGGTGAGAAGACATTTCATGTATCAGGTCCTTAATCAGGGAATGCACAGCCTCCTCCAGGTCCATAAATGAATTTGGGAGACATTTGATCCTAAAATTGTATCTCCTAGACTGATTTTCCAGGTCTTCTATTGGCATTCAATTGAGCTAATTGCCCCTGGAGGGGAGAAATCATACTAGCATTTTGATTTACTCTTTACTATTCCATCCATTTTAGGTTCAGTAGTGTCCAGCCATTCTCCAATACTCTGAAAGTCACTTCTCAAATTGGTGGTAATAATATTACATGTCATAGACAATTCTTGTTGCAGGAGAGCAGAGAATCTGGCAATAAGCACTGCATCACCTGAGTAAGCATCTGGTTGTACAGGTGGATGCTCTTGTGACAGGCTAGCCTGGCTCGAAGGTAATTCTTTGAGTTCTGCCATGTTCTTGTCCATATGAAATGCTGAAAGCTCCAGCTCTTCCCCCAGGGAGGCAGGAGAAGGGGAAGGTAGCTGATGGTCCGCTTGTGGGGTGGCCAGGAGCTCTTCTTGGGACTTTGAGGAAAAGGGGTCCCGAACTACACTGACCTACAAGGCTGGTGGTAGATAGGGTGAAGTAGGCTGCTGTACCTGTGGGATGCCAAATGCTGTAAATCTTGTGTCCCGAAGCCACCCTGGCTCTAGAGGGTTGCTGTGATGGCTGAGCAGGGCTTGCTGAATGGGACTGCTGTGTGGGCTGGGGAGGATTTTTCTTCACCGCCCTTGCTGTCATCTGCTGAATTCTGGGCTCCTGGATCCAGGGGTGTAGCTCAGCTGTTGATCCCTGAGCCCTAAAAAGATAATTTTAGCAAGAAGGCGACCAAGAGCATGCAGATCCCAGTCAGTGCATGACCGTTTCTGCGTCTGCATGCATTCGCACTTTTAAAGAACGTTTTTTATTTCTCTCTCCTCCCCTTCCTTGTGTGAAGGGGAAGAGAGGGGAAAAGAGATCCAGCACTGTGCACAGCTGCATCTCTTCTCCCCTCTCTTCCTCTTCACACAGAACTTGAAAAACAGCAGAAGTCATTGGCTTCTGCTGCTGGCAATCAAATGCAGTGAGGAGAAAGTGTGTGCCCTCCATAGTAGCCATTTGCTATGGGGACACACAAAGAAGAGAGAGCCAAGATCGAGGCAGTGGACCCCAGCAGAGGAGGATCGGGGCCACTCTGTGCAAAACCACTGCACAGAGTAGGTGAGTATGATATGTTTGCTCTTTTAATTTAAAAAGAAATTTTACTTTAGTAACACTTTAATTATTAGGACTTTCTTGAAGAAACCACTGACTCCTTTCATTTCAATGTAATAGGGAAATTCTGCCTGCTAACTGTTCTAATTATTATTATTATACAGTATGTATATAGCGCCAAAAGGTTTGCTCAGCGCTGTACATTATAGTGGGGGACAGTACATGAGACAGTACAGTAACAATACAATGCACGAGGGGTTCGAGGGCCCTGCTCTTTCGAGCTTACAATCTAGGAGGTAGGGGATAGTGGCACAGGAGGAAGTGGCTGTGGGGGATGGAGTGGTAGGAGGATTGGAGGAGATCGGCTGTTAGGTGAGGGTGGGGTAGGCTTCCCTGAAGACATGGGTTTTCAGGGTGCTCCTAAAAGGTGAGGAGGGTAGGTGACAGTCTGATGGATTGGGGTAGTGAGTACCAGAGGATGGGGGAAGTCCTGCAGTCGGGTGTGGGAGGTGGAGACCAGGGAGCTAGAAAGTAGGAGGTCTTGTGAGGAGCGAAGATTATGGGTTGGGTGGTATTTGGGTATCAGGTCGGTAGTTTGGGGCAGCATTATGAATGGCTTTGTTTGTCAGTGTTAGTAGTTTGAATTTGATGCGTTGGGCAATCGGGAGCCAGTGGAGGGAATGACGGGGGTGGCAGAAGAGGAGCGGTTGGTAAGGTGGATGAGTCTGCCCGCTGAGTTCAGGATAGACTGAAACGGGGATAGTCTATGATGAGGTAGGCCGGTGAGGAGGGAGTTGCAGTAGTCCAGGCGTGAGATAATGAAGGAGTGAACGAGTTGTTTAGTAGTGTCTGGGATTAGGAACGTACGTATTGTGGAGATGTTCCGGAGGTGGAGCCTGCATGAGCTTGCTAGCGATTGGACATGGGGTTGGAAGGACAGGTTTGAATCTAGAGTGACACCTAGGACTTTGGCTTGCGGGGTGGGACTGATGGTAGCATTGTTGGTCGTGATGGACAGGGTGGGGGGGGGGGGGGGCGCGGGCTGGGGGGAAAATTAGGAGCTCAGTTTTTTAAAGGTTCAGTTTGAGGAAATGGAGCGACATCCAGTCTGATATGTCGTTCAGCAGGTGGGTGATATGGGCAGAGACTGAAGGGGTGAGTTGAGGGGTGGAGAGGTAAATTTGCGTGTCATCGGCGTAGAGGTGATAGTTGAAGCCGTTGGAGTGTATCAGTTTGCCAAGGGAGGAGGTGTAGATGGAGAAGAGAAGGGGCCCGAGGACAGAGCCTTGGGGGACCCCAACAGAGAGGTAGCGTTATAGGTAATGCTGAAGGAGCGTTGGGAGAGATAAGAAGAGAGCCATGAGAGAGCAGAGTCTCTGATGCCGAGGGAGTGTAGTTTATCGAGGAGGAGGGGTGTGGTCAACTGTGTCGAAGGCCGCAAAGAGGTCAAGGAGTAAGAGGATTGAGTAGTGGCCATTAGCTTTGGCGGTTAACAGGTCATTAGTGATTTTGAGTAGGGTGGTTTCGGTGGAGTGTAGGGGACGGAAGCCAGACTGTAGTGGATCGAGGAGGTTGTTGTCAGTGAGGTGGGAGCTTAGGCGATTGTAGACTAAGCGCTCAAGGAGCTTGGAAGTGAACGGCAGCAGGGAGATGGGTCTAAGGTTGTTCAGGTCAGTGGGGTCCAAGGAGGGTTTTTTGTGTATGGGGGTGATGTGCGCGTGCTTTAGGGGGGAGGGGAATGCGCCACTAGAGAGGGAGAGATTGAAGATGTGGGTGAGGGAGTGTAGGATTGAGGAGGAGGGTGACCGGAGACGTTGTATGGGGACAGGGTCAAGGGGGCAAGTGGTGAGGCGGGCTTCTGAGAAGACCTTGGTGACCTCAGTGGTGGCAAGGCTGAAGGAGCAGAGTGTTGGGGGGGTTATGGTGTGCGGGATGTTAAGGGTGGTGGGGGGCAGGGCGGTTGCAAGGTCAGAGGAGGGGAGAGTTGGAGGGGTTGTAGTGGGAGGGAGGCTAGGTGGGGAGGTAGGTGGAGCATTGGCAATGTTCTTACGGATTGCATCGATCTTATTTTGGAAGTGAATGCCAATCTTGTGGGCGGTGAGTGAGGGTACTGGGTGGGGATGGGGGGGGGGGAAAGAGTAGGGAGTTGAAAGTGGAGAAGAGCCGGCGAGGATTGTAGGAGAGGGTGTTGATGAGGGTTACGAAGTAGGTTTGTTTGGCGGCGTAGAGGGAGGAGGCATAGGTGAGGAAGGCGGATTTGTAGAGGGAGAATGCTTGAGGGGATTTGGTTTTGCGCCAGAATCATTCCAGCACGCGATTGCGTCGTTTAAGATGTTTAGTGTGGTCGTTCTGCCAGGGTTGACAGCACTATCTGCCCAGGGGATCAGTCACCCCAGCTGCCTAGCTGACCGCTCTCATCAACTCCCCCCACCTAATTCTGCAGGGCACTCTTTGTGCTGTAGACCTGCAGACTCCTTCATGTGCTGCTGGAATAAGTTAATCCTGAGTCTGGGTAATATTACCTGGACATCAAGGTAGGTAAGTTGGGAGGTTTTAGAGGGTTAAGGTTAGGAATTTGACTTGCTCAGAGATGGGCTTTAAAGATCATTTGCAAATAGCCAGATTGTCATTTCTGTGTATTGGCCTTCGTTTGTCTCCTTCAGTGTGCACATCTCCAGAGCCAGATTACATCGCTCAATGAGAAGCTTAGAGAATCTCGAACCAGAGAAAATGACACTGATCTGGCAAAAGACCAAGCGGAAGAGGTGAGTGAAATCTTTATATGCCCTTTTTATGGCTTTTTAAGTATGGGCTGTGAATCCCAGAAAATGAATTACAGATTAATTTACAGAATTTTGGTAATCTCACATTATTTATGCATGTGTAAAAAACCTCAATGTGACTCCATTTCCCAAAGTATTCTTTCATTAATTTTTTTTTTTTTTTTTTTGTAATAATTGTCATCTTGATATATTAGATGGTGTCTCAGCTCCAGGAGAAAGTACGTCAGCTCCATCCTCTGAGACAGCAGGTGAGTCTTTCTCTGCTACTCATCAAATTCAGTCATTTGATAGAACATTACCTACAACTGTAGTTACATTACATGTGTTTAAAACCCAACTCCTTTGTTTTGTCTAGAGCAGAAAGAGTTAAAATTCCTTAGGTTGTATTTCTGTCTGTGACCCCATTGGGGACATTTTGCCTCGATTCCTGTGCCACCCGTACAAGAAATGGGCTGGGGGGAATGGACAGGAAGACCAGGGCAGAAAAATTCCATTACTTTCATTATTTGTGTCTCTAACTCCCATTACAGATTTGCCATCACTGTCTCTCGTGACAGGAAATGGGGGAAATCTCACAAACAGCGATTGCAATAATGTCTCCACTTCATACAAATAAAATTTTTAGCTGGAGGTGGGCTTTAATATGACACTTAAAAGGACTAAATTGTGTTGGACCTTGTGATTGCATACACATGGATTTCTTTACAGCTCAACTTCCTTCATAGATTGTACTACTTGATTTTGATAAGTGTGACCAGCTTGAATATTAAAGGGATATTTATCTTGCAAAGTTAGAAATGAAAATTGTATCTATTTGCATGCCATTTTGTGTCTCCTATCAGTGCGCCCAGCTCCAGGCTCAGGTCATTACCCTAACAGAGCAACGTGGAGACATGCAGACAAGTGTTGGTGACCAAAATATGGCGAAGGACCCCACAGAAGAAGTGAGTATTTGGAACTGCCACCCAGCAGGCATTTTAGCAGACTAGCTGATAATTAATGTATACCTGAAGGCAAAACTTTTTTTTTTTTTCTTTTTTTTATGAGTGGGGATGGATTTGAAAAACTGGGTCTTATTTCTGTGTCCCTGTTAGAGAGATTCGCCCACTCTATATCTTCTTGTGACTGTTATCACTGAAATTGAAAGAAAATACCAAATTTTTGAGTGGTCACCAGAACAGGAATACAGGGTAAATCTTCTGGTTGTTCAGTTCTCAAGAGAATATTTTGGCCATTTTAAATGTTAAAAACAGATTCTACAAGGAGCCTACTGTTACCTTTTTATTTCAGAAACTTGGTACTGTCCTCTGATCTAAATTTTTTACTTTGATCTTAAAGATCAGTAAGAAGCCTTGTCCATCTGCTCTGCCCCCTGTCCAATGGGGATATCTTTGAGGCCATTAAGGAAGCTCTGCTTGCAAAGGAGGCTTGACAGGCAGACCGGCTTGGGCCAAATTTGAGGAGGTTAAGCCCTTCGCAACAAAGTGACGGCAGGAGGGTGGAGTTTAGGTCTGAAGTCAGGGAGGTCTTAGTTACAAAGTAAAATGAAGTTCAAAGGGGCACCAGATAAGGGTTTTCTTGCTAAGAAAGCAGAGTTCACTTTTACAAAGGTTTTTTTCTTTTTGGGGCTATACAGAAATATCTAGCATATATACAGTTGTGCTCAAAAGTTTGCATACCCTGGAAAAAATTGTGACATTTTGGCATTGATGTTGAAAATTTTACTATTCATGCCAAAAACTGTCTTTTATTTAGGCATAGTGATCGTATGAAGCCATGTATTAACACAAAGTTGTTTGTCTCCATTTTAAATCTTATTGATAACATAAATCACCCAAATGGCCCTGATAAAAAGTTTACATACCCTGAATGTTTGGCCTTGGTATAGAAAAACAAGGTGACACACACAGGTAAAAAATGCCAATTAAAGGTTCAATTCCTACATCTGTGGCTTTTTAAATTGCAATTGGTGCCTGTGTATCAATAGTAAATGAGTTTGTGAGCTCTCATGTGGATGCACTGAGGAGCCTAGATACTGAGCCATGGGAATCAGAAAAGAACTGTCAAAAGACCTGCGTAGCAAAACAATGGAACTTTATAAAGATGGAAAAGTATATAAAAGATATCCAAAGCCTTGAAAATGCCTGTCAGTACTGTTAAATTACCTATTAAGAAGTGGAAAATTTGGGGATCTCTTGATACCAAGCCAAGGTCAGGTAGA